TTGATTTGAAAAATCAGCTGGGTAAAAGACATGAGGTGGGAGGTAGGTTAATATAATTTTTCTGGTGTCTTCATCCCCTTGAAGCAAACAGACAAAAATACAATGTAAGCATCCTCTTCAATGGAAATATACCATTTCAGGAATCATAAGTAACAAAAAATATTAGACCAAAAAGAAAGATAATTTTGGTTTGGTTTTTTTTTTTAAGATGGGTGAGGATCTAGTAGTAATAAAAAAATGCTACAAAGGTAACAGGTTTTAATAATTTCACCTTCTTAACTAAAAGAAATGGGATACTCAGATTTACTTCTCAAAGGCCAGTCTGCCTGGAAAGCCTCACTGCAAGGGAAGGCTCTTGTGTGGTATCAGTGTCTGCAAACCCAATAGCTGCCAGAAAACTACAATGGGATTCAGCCAGGGAGAACCCAGAATGCAACTCCAAAATCTGGTCTGCATCTAACTGGGGGAAAAGCATCACAGAAGATGTCAGGCTTGATAGACTTTTGCCTGTTCGATAAACGGGGGCGTTTGCTGAAAACACAATTTATGCAAGAAGGGACATAGGCAGGGGATCAATAAGAACACAGAAAGCTGGTCTGCTATATTACAAGATGCCTGCAAGTATAGATCTACAAGGGACTTTATGTGAATTTCTAGTCCTCACCTTGTACTGCTAAAGTATCAAGCATGATTTTCTTCTCCCTGACAGATGAAATTTCTTTGCAGTCTGTGCAGAGCATCGTTCTCCAGTTAAGACTGACCTGCAAACACAGGCTGTAGTAATTAGTGCCTGTGTTTTAGTGTTTTAGGTATGGTGCTCCTGTTGCAGTACACCTGAATAAAATTTGACCATTCTTTTTCCAGCACTGTCACCATGGTAGTTCTTGCTGAAATGGATGCCTCAGCGTCTTTTCATGCCAAATGCTGCACCTTGGGTTTACCCCCGTTAAGTACCTGTGCCTTTGCTTTCTCTTTTCTAAATGCAGTGTTTTCCACTTACCTTGACTGATCTTGGTGCTTGCTCATCTTTTCAATTTGCTCTGTTGTTTCAAATTGTCTTCCCATTTTCTCAAGTACTTTCAGCCCTCTATTCTGGTCCCCAGACTTAGAAGTCAATCATTTATGACATACTATGTGATACTAGTATGTCCAGCAGTGCTAAGAACAATGTAGAATATGCCCAGGACTCACCACTAGGGGATACTGCTTTAACTGATCTCCCAAATTTGCTGTCATCCAGTATATGCAGTTTGGTCATGAGCATGCTATTGCAACCGAGTTTTCAAGAAGCAGTAATCTCATCTAGGTTCCCTTTCTCCCAAAAGGTTGCACTGGATCAAGGGCTCTCCCTTCCTGGGCTGTTCTCTGTTCCTATAAAACCAGTGACTCTGAGGGAATCTTTACTATTGACACCAACCCGTAATCTGAAATCCATCCTGACATTTTCCATTCAGAGAGATTATAATCCTTAAGAATCCTGATCCTCGTTCCTATCTTTCTCCTCCCTCTAGCTGTGATCCAGTTTGTGCTGAAACTATGGAAGACATCCTTTGGCATTATGTTTGTGTCAGATCCATGTTTTCACTTGTGATCTTTTCTGTGAAGATGTTCCTTGATTTGAAACATTTTTGAAGAAAAATTAATCTACATAGTAAATTATTGTAATATTATCGAGAAAGATGGGGTTTGGCTACAAAGAGAAGGAGCATTTCCTTCCAGGCGACAGCTACAGGAACAGTGCTGTTGAATTTTTGTGAATGTGATTAGTTGACATGTTTTTCAACAAATGGGTGTAGACAAAGCCAGCCAACGATCTGACCAGAAGAAAGAGCCATCACTGTCATTATAAAGACCACTGAAAGGTGTTTATTAAAGTAATTCAAAGATTCTTTGATAATTTGATTGAATTTTCTAGTAGAGAGCATTCAGGTTATCAGAGTGTGCCTCAAGAAGTTCTTGTTCTAACCATAATTCTAACCACTTTTCAGGCTTTACAGTACACTTCATACTTTAACTTTTTTCCCAGTTTAGTTCCTCCTACATATTCTTCAAATGCTTTGTCCATTTTCTCATTCTGATCTTCACTGAAAAGATTCTTCCAGTCACT